CAGAGAAGGGTTACTAGAATGGTGCCTGGGATGGAGGGGGTTGTCATATGATGAGAGGCTGAAATTCTCAAATTGTTTTCTCTTGAAAAAAGAAGAGTTAGGGGGGATCTGATTGAGGTGTTTAATATTGTAAAGGGAATTGATAGTGTTGGTGTATCATCTTTTTTGATATTTAACAATGAGAATAGTAGGACTAGGGGACAGAAATATAAATTTTGGCAAGGTAGGAGTCATCTTCAGCTAAGACAGTTATATTTTTCTAACAGGGTGTTTGATGTTTGGAATGGGTTGCCTTCAGATGTTGTAGAGGCAGTAAATTAAAGTGAGTTTAAGAAAAGCTTGATAAGTATGTGAATGAAATGGTTGGGTTTAAAATGTTATTATCATTATTATTATTTAATCATTTTAATCTAGTTTTGAGGATGGAACAGCCAAGATGGACTAATAGGTCCCATGTTGTGCTAAAATGTTATGTTATACTTAAAAAGGAATGAAAATATTTTAATATAGTTTTGGGCTGGGCATAGCCTAGTGGTTAGCATGCAGGACTGTGAATCTGAAGGGCCTTGCTTATTAAGATCAATTACATAAAACACAATGTTTATCTGTACACATCTTAAAACCTTTGTTAAAAGCTCTACATGTAGAACCTTTTCAAAAAGTTTTTAAACTTTGTACAAATAAATATTATGTTTTAGTTAATTGATGTTAACAGCAATACACAAGTCTGATTATCAATGAATAAAGTTAGTGATACTTAATTTTAATGAATTTGTTTGAATATTATTTTTGAATTAGAAATTGGTTTGATATTTAGATTCAAAATATTTTTTGTTTTCAAGAAAACTGTAATACTGTGAAGCAAAGATGCTTATGAATTATATTTTTGTTTCAGGCTCACGTTTTATTGAGACCCATAGTTTTGGTTTTGTGGCACTTGACATCATGTATGCTTATCCTGAAGATGCAGGAACTTACACGTGTAAGGCAACAAATGCCCTTGGAGAAGCTGTTACGTCTGCCCAGTTAAGATGTTATGGTAAGTCACTTACTCAAATCTGTAGCAAAAATATGGAAATTTTTGTGTATTTGATAGAATAGAAATGAAGATTAGTCATCATCAGAAAATGTCATTACTTTTTCAGAATAAATGCCCTCCCAGTGGCACAGTGTATGTCTGCGAACTTACAATGCTAGAAACTGGGTTTCAATACTCATGGTGGTCAGAGCACAGATAGCTCTTTGTGTAGCTTTGTGCTTAACTACAAACAATCAGAATAAATTAATTATTATTTACTCTTAAGATTTGTTTTTTAAAATACTTTTTGAGGGCTATTTGTGATTATAAGATAAATGTTTTTGTGAAAGTGAAAAATCATCAAGTAAACCCCTTCTGATTTAAATTTTCGAATATATGAAATGTTTTAAATTTTGCCTGAAGGAATTTTGCTCAAGAATATGATTGTAATAAAACAAAGCCTAATCTATGCCTGATATACAATTACCTGTATATACACACACACAATCTTATAAAAGATGTAAAGTATTAAAAGATTAGATGATTTGTGTCAGTTTTTTGATATGATTGTTACTCAACATTTTATTTTACAAAATACACACATTAACTGAATGGACTGACTCCTATTGGAGAAGTAATGTTAACGGTAATTCTGAATTAAGAAAGTGTATCTTCATGTAATGTGGCAAACTTTTAGTAAGCAGTACAAGTCTGTTGTAAACAAAAATCAGATGTGTTAATAAAGTTTTTGTACAAAACATATATCTGTGAAATGGAAAAATCAATTTGACTCAAACCCTTAGAAATTGGAGTGCCAGTTATCTGGTATTTTCTGACCTAACATGAACTGTTGTGAAATCAGCAATACAGAGTATCATGAAAAGTTGATAACTCTGACATCAAATTCATAATACCATGTTGAATGGCTCTCGTTACAAGGTCAGGGCATGCACACTTTAGCTCCCACCTATGTACTTAGGGTTAAATATATTATTTATTACGTGCTTTGAATTATGGTTTTAGAAATATTATTGATTTTAGGAGAAGTGCTTATGTGAATGTGGAAGTTGTTAAAATGATCTGTCTCTGTCTGAATTTTTAGTAATCTGAAATATATTTTCAGAAAAAGGGAAATTAGTCCTTGAATCTCAACAGCCAGATAGTTTGCAGAAGATTCAAAAATTAGAAGACAGTGGTCACTACCAGAGGACTGTTTCAGTGGAAGAAGTTACAACTCAGGCTCCAGTGTTCACACAACCCATGAGAAACTTGCAATTGCTGGACAACCAAAGTGCTCATTTTGAATGTCGTCTTATCCCAGTTGGAGATCCCAAATTGAGGGTGGAGTGGCTTTTTAATGGCATGCCTCTTATGCATGGTAAGTGTCTTATTTATTTTTCAAAGGACATACAAAATATTTTTGTTTTATAATTTTTAACACAATATATAATTTTCAAGCACAATGGAAAGCATAATTAAATTTTCTGCTGTAAAACTGTTGAGTTGTACTGTGAAAGTGACTCTTTTTATACTTTTATGGTATGCCTGTGGGTGTTTGAAATTATTTATATTTTTCTTTGTCTATGTGTTTCAGGAGATTAAAACTATATATATATATATATACACACAGATAAAAAAGGAATAATTCAAGATGTGACTGGATATGTAGAAACTATGTTTTCTCTGAAAAACCTATTTAATTTTTTCAGCCTCTCGTGTTACCACTATGCATGACTTTGGATTTGCTGCATTAGACCTGGCTTATGTGAAACCTGAAGATAGTGGCACATACACATGTAAGGCAACAAATGATCTTGGACAAGCTGTATGTTCTGCCACTTTAACTGTCAAAAGTAAGTTACCTTATTTTTGGAAAAAATCCTGTTATTATAAATATGAAATGGACTGCTCCAAATCACATATGTCATTAAAATCTAAGGTTGGTATATTTATGTAAGAACAGTTTTCATTTTAACTGTTACTCCTGTATAATGAGTATTTAAGAATCAAAGTGACTGAAGTGTTTATTGCTGTATAACTTTGAATGATATGAGAGTCTTTATGTCTATTGACATAATCTATCCATTAGCTAAAATTGCATCAGGGTTGAATACTAAACAATATCATTTGAAAACCAGATGACACATGAACTTAAAGACAAGATTAAAAGCTCAAGTAAAAAAAATATAAAGAAGACAACTGAAAAAATAGGTCATTTATATTCCAATTAAATTGCCAAATGAAAATTAATTGATTAGTAATTCTACAATATACTCCATAAGAAAAGAGATTGCATAGATATTTTTGATTAAGGTATTTTAGGTATTTTAGTTTTAATTGTTTCATTTCCTATTCAGGTAAATGTGACTTTATGTTACTCCAGTAGGATGAGCTCTGTTTTTGAGTGAAAAAACGTCATTGAAAGTGAAGTATAACAGACAAAGAAATATTCAGTTATTATGTGTACATGATTTTGACTGAAAACTTAAATGCACGATCTAGAAATTTATGATTGAAAAATTGCAACAGCAATCTCTTATAATATTTCTTCACTAACCATGATTACTTGTTATATTACTTGATAAGGCTGCTTAAGGTAATCCCTATCGTTAGATATTCCTTTTTGCCCAAAACAATTTTGTTTGAGTGTAATTTAAAAAACATTATATTCCATGCAACTGCAGCTGGTGCATATTTTTACTGTTCATTATTCAGGATCAAGTAGTTTGCTGCTAGAGCCACAGCAACCTGACAGCCTACAGAAGATTCAGTACCTGGAAGATTCAACCAGGCATCAAAGAGCAGTTACAGAAGAAACAGTAGTCTCAAGTAAACCAGTATTTGTTACACCACTACGAGGACCTACTAAGCTAGCAGAAGGCCAGAGCAGTCACTTAGAGTGCCGAATTGAACCATATCCTGACCCTACCATGAAAATTGAATGGTTTTACAATGGTCAGATCTTGAAAACAGGTAATTTAAAAGCATTGTATAAGTTTCTATTTTGAATCACATCCAGCTTAGTGTAAAAAATTTTTTTTAACAATTAAAGCTAATAATGAAACTCAAATAAATTACTCTGACTGTAAGTTGTATTTCACTGCATGTTTTGCTTGTCAGATTCAATCCACCTATAAAGAACTCATAAAAAAAAACTCATCAAATTGATGTTTATGTATAATTGAACAATAATGAAATATTAAGTTGTTTTAACTTTTGTTAATAATCTCCTAGGCCATCGCTTCCGCACAATGTATGATTTTGGATTTGCGGCTTTAGACATTCTTTCAGTTAATGCCGAAGATTCGGGTGAATATATGATCAAAGCAACTAACTGCTTGGGCACCTCTACTTCAACTGCAGTTATACAAGTAACAGGTAATGAGTTTTTTAGACAGAAACAAGTTTTCTATAATTATAATTCTTAAATTACAAGTAACAATCAATGTTTTATTTTTTTATTTATCTAACTTGATAGTGTTACGCCTCCGGTTGTTAGTTAATTTTCCGTAAAAATTCTTTCTGAAGAAACTTTAGTGATACAAGTCCTTTCTTAAACAAAAC